ACCATCTCTGGATCCCTACATACTATCTAAACATTGTAATAACCAAAAAAAAAATGCCTCTGAAATTTTTTTTTTTTTTTTTTTTGAGATGGAGTTTCGCTCTTGTTAACCCAGGCTGGAGTGCAATGGCACGATCTCGGCTCACCGCAACCTCCGCCTCCTGGGTTCAGGCAATTCTCCTGCCTCAGCCTCCTGAGTAGCTGGGATTACAGGCACACGCCACCATGCCCAGCTAATTTTTTGTATTTTTAGTAGAGACGGGGTTTCACCATGTTGACCAGGCTGGTCTCGATCTCTTGACCTTCGTGATCCACCTGCCTCGGCCTCCCAAAGTGCTGGGATTACAGGCTTGAGCCACCGCGCCCGGCGCCTCTGAAATTCTTGTAATGATCTCTAGAGGTAGATACCACCCTCACTAAAAATCTATGGTTTAGAGAGTCCAGTTCAAAAATATTAACCTGAAATTCAAATGTCTTTCACAATGAGATAAAAATCTACCTCCTGCTTTTTCAGACTTATTTCCACAACTTTCTAACATATAGTCTAGGCTTTTGAGAAAGAAGTGTATTTGCTCCCCATCTTTTGCTTATTGATATGCTTATGTTGTGATATTTAAACAACTTTCATTGATTAATCTGTCAGAATCTGTTAAACTAATGACAAGCAAATTAAAGAATAACTATAAAGTGATCATAAAGATACTATCTTGATATTAATAAACTTAACATCTAAACATTTTACATATAAAAAATTGAGAAAAAAATCTTGGAGTAACTTTTATTGACTATATAGGATATGTCAAGGCTGCAAAAATATTTTGGCTTATAAGCAAAACAAAAATTAGTTCTCTAATTACAGTACACATGAGAAAAGTACTTTAAAATTAGTCTTTCAACCTCTAGCTTAAGTTAAAATGAATTGGTTCAATGTAGGAAAACACTAGATGATGACCTCCATTTGCCTCCCAGACCAAAAAAAAAAAAAAAAAAGGCATTCTTAGCCAGAAGCAGTGGCTCATACCTGTAATTCCAGCACTTTGGGAAGCTAAGGTGGTTCAATCACTTGAGGTCAAGAATTTGAGAACAGCCTGGCCAACATGGTGAAACCATGTCTCTATTAAAAATACAAAAATCAGCTGGGCATGGTGCCACATGCCTGTAATACCAGCTACTTGGGAGGCTGAGGCATGAGAATCACATGAACCCAGGAGGCAGAGGAGGCAGTAAGCAGAGACTGCACCACTCCACAAAAAGGCACTCCTCATAGTATTATTTTTTTAACTTCTTTATTTTGGTTAATGATTACAGAAAAGTTGCCAGAAAAACAGCACCTCACTTCTCCCAACATTAACATCTTAAATAACTACAGTACAACAATTCAAAACAAGGAAAATAGTATTGGTACAATACTATCAATTAACTCTACGTCTTATTCAGTTCACCAGTTTTTCCACTAATGTCCTTCCCCTATTCCAGGGTCCTATCCACAAGCCCATGTGAGTTACATTTAGTTGTTATTTCTCCTACTCTTCTCCAATTTGTGGCAGTTCCTTTGTCCTTCAGTCTGTTATAGTCTTGACACTTTTAAAGAATACTAGTCAGTTATTTTGTAGGCTATCTATCAATCTGCAATTGTTATAATATTTCCTCATTATTACAGCAAGATTACACATTTTGAATAAAACGTACAGAATAAAACTCAAGAATAACACAGAAATAATATTGTATTCTTAGTGCATCATATCAAGGGGTATGTCAATATGTCCTACTACTGATGATGTTAACCTTGATCACTTAATTAAGATGGTGTGTTCAGGCTTCTCCTTTAGTAAATATCTTGGGGAAGATACTTTGAAACTATGCAAATATCCTATTTCATTTCAAACTTTTGGCCATTACTGCCAAGTGCTGTGGCTTGTACCTGTAATCCCAGCACTCTGGAGGTTGACGTGGGAGAACTGCTTGAGTCCAGGAGTATGAGACTAGCCTTAGCAACACAGTAAGACCTGATCTCAAAATACAAAAAACTAGCCAGGCATAGTGGCATGCACCTACAGTCACAGCTATTCTGGACTCGTTCTTTAAGTTGGTCCTTTATAGTTGAAAATTCATAAGTTTAATGTGGCTATGATACAACTAACCTATATAGTAGGAGATCGGAACAATTTCACCTTATAGAACCATAACATCCCCATCCAGGTGCTACAGGCATACCGATCTACTACAAATACCCAAATCCTCCAAAATGAACTCATCTTTTCTCCCTAAGACTTATTTTTATACTTAATTTCTCAGTAGCAGCACATTTCTCCCTGGCTGAAACCTCAGAAACATTATTGGCTTGATTCTCTGTGATAGCTAGCCCTATTCATGTGATAACAATGTTCTACCTCTAAGAAGTTTCTCTTTTCCGTCTTCTAAGAAGTTTCTCTTTTCTCTTTTCCATTCCCACTGCTGTAACTCAACTTGGTCTGCCTAATACCTTGCCTGAATTACTGTAAACGCTTTCTACTTATTTCCAGCTCTTCCCCATTCCAATCTTCAATCCTTCCTATCACCAGATTAATCTTCCTTTGGGACAACTCTGTTGCCCACCTGTTAAAAAGAAAAGTCAGTAGCCTTCCCTGCCTTCTAATGTAGCCCAAACCTGTATTTATATCTCTATAAAGAACTTCTACAAATAACAACTAAATTATTCTTCCTTTCACCATTATCAAAATTATTTTAACCACTCAAAGAAGATATATGCTGCAAACTGAGGACAAGCAAAACAAAAACTAAAAGAACCAAAGGGAAAAGAGATCCAACTCAGTGTGATTTCTGAACAAAGAATAAAATAAATATAACTACCACTTAAGATGGACAAAGCCAAAAAAAATCAAAAAAAAGGCTGGGTGCGGTGGCTTAAGCCTGTAATCCCAGCACTTTGGGAGGCCGAGGTGGGTGGATCACGAGGTCAAGAGATCGAGACCATCCTGGTCAACATGGTGAAACCCCGTCTCTACTAAAAATACAAAAAATTAGCTGGGCATGGTGGCGCGTGCCTGTAATCCCAGCTACTCAGGAGGCTGAGGCAGGAGAATTGCCTGAATCCAGAAGGCAGAGGTTGCAGTGAGCCGAGATTGTGCCACTGCACTCTAGCCTGGGTAACAAGAGCGAAACTCGGTCTCAAAAAAAAACAAAAAAAAAAGAAAATCAAAAGTAAAAAAAAAAATTTAAATCTCATTCATAATTGAAAATATTTAACTATGGGCAAGCTATAATGTTATGCCTAAGAATGCAAATCTAAATCTAGTTCCTAGGCTCCAAAGACTGAAAGGAACTAGAGGAAATACTACTATGTGTTTGAGCAATTCCAAGACTGTCCAAACTAGATTCTAACTCTCTTTATACTAACGCACCCTAAGGTCAGTTCTTCATGTAAAAAAAAAAAACACCTACCATGGTACTGTCACTGACCAGTTTTTTAAAATAAGCAGATTATATAATATAAAATAAATAAAATAATATAAAAAGCTGATGCTTTTACCAAATTGTTAATATTTTGGGGCCAGGTATGGTGGCTCATGCCCATAATCCCAGCATTTTGGTAGGCTGAAGAGAAAGGACTGCCTGAGGTCAGGAGCTCAAAACCAGCTTGGGCTACATAGTAAGACCTGCTTTCTATGAAAAATAATAATAAAAAAAAATTAGCCAAGTGGCTGGGCACAGTGGCTCACACCTGCAATCCCAACACTTCAGGAGGCCAAGGTGGATCACCTGAGTTTAGGAGTTCAAGACCAGCCTGGGCAGAGTGGTGAAACCCCATCTCTACTAAAAATAAAAAAATTAGCCAGGCATGGTGGCATGAGCTTGTAGTCCCAGCTATTTAGGAGGCTGAGGCAGGGGAACTGCTTGAGCCTGAGAGTCAGAGGTTGCAGTGGGCTGAGATTACACCACTGCACAACAGCCTGGGCAACAAAGCAAGATCTTGTCTCAAAAAATAAAATAAAATAAATAAATTATATATATATATATATATATATTAGTCAGGTATGGGGATATGTGCCTGTAGTCCCAGCTACTTAGGAGGGTGAGGCAGGAGGGGACCTCATGCCCAGGAGTTACAGTGAGGTATAACTGCACCACTGCACTCCAGCCTGGGAAACAGAGCAAGACTTTGTCTGTAAAATAATAATTATTAATATTTTATCACATGATAAATGAAGTTTAAAACATCTTCCCAGAAGGAGAAGAAATATCCCCTAGGCATAAATGATTCATTATTCACTAGTTCGGTGTTTGCAGCCACTTTAGAGAACGTAACTGCCACAAGAAAAGAGAATCAACTTTATCTCCAAGGAGCGTATATACTTGCAACATGAAAATCACAAAAATGGTTAACTTAGATATGCGTAAAATATAAAAAAAATTACCAAAAGTTAATTATATTAAATATAGTAAATTCTAGAACAGGTATGGAAATAGATTTGATCTTGAATACCAGTTCCAAAGGACAATCAATGTGTTATGAATAAGGTACACCTTCTATGAAGCTGTGCTATGGCTCACCAGCAAAAAGAACTAAAATCAACTAACAATGCTGGTTGTTGCCGGGCGCGGTGGCTCAAGCCTGTAATCCCAGCACTTTGGGAGGCCGAGGCGGGTGGATCACGAGGTCGAGAGATCGAGACCATCCTGGTCAACATGGTGAAACCCCGTCTCTGCTAAAAATACAAAAAATTAGCTGGGCATGGTGGCGCGTGCCTGTAATCCTAGCTACTCAGGAGGCTGAGGCAGGAGAATTGCCTGAACCCAGGAGGCGGAGGTTGCGGTGAGCCGAGATCGCGCCATTGCACTCCAGCCTGGGTAACAAGAGCGAAACTCCGTCTCAAAAAAAAAAAAAAAACAAAAAAAAAACAATGCTGGTTGTTAAATAATATTATTTGCGTCATTTATTTGGCATTCCTAAGCTTCTGTATTTCAAATAATCCCATAAATTGTACAAATTAAATTACTTACTGCTTCAACGGAGTTACATTCTCGCCTTGTTTCCAAATAACGTAGTGCTCGTTTTTCTTCTTCTTTTAATTTAGCATCTGCCTGTCCAGAAGCAAAATAGCAATCATTTTAAGACTATCAAGAGAATTGCTCAAATTATCACATACTAAGTTCAAACTTACATATTTCATATAATTCTGTACACCATTTTGTTGTAAATATGAGGGTGCCTGTGTTCTATAAAATCTCTCTGTTGAATCCAAGTATGCCTTCTCAAAATTGTCCCTATAAATCTGAAGCTTATCCTCAGGATTAGAACAAAGGTTAACTGAAAAACAGAAAATAAAATATTACTCCAATTATGATCAGAATCAATATTTTGAGAATAAATATTAAGGAGTCATTATGTGCGAGGTAATAATGCTGAAGAGAACATATAATTATATAAGACAAAATCCTTCTCCATAAGAAACTTACAAAGATAAAAGCACAAAGCAGTAAAGTAACAAATAAATGATACAGATAATACAGACTTTTATTTTTGAATAGGTAAGAGACTGACTTCTAACTGAATACTAAAGAAAACATAATATAGACTATTTTATTTTTGAATAGGTAAGAGACTGACTTCTAACTGAATAATCAAGAAAACATTCACAGAAGCAATGGGAAACCGAATCTTAAAGAATAAACTAGAATTTGTATAGAGATTAGTTAAGGTAAGTAAATAGAAGCAGAAAAGCACAAGAAAATATGACTAGGTTGTCTAAGTGGATTGCAAGGCTAACAAGATGGTAAGGTAGAAGAGTAAATTACAAAGGGCTGTGAAGATGCTTTGGGTAATATGGTAAAACAATGTTTCTACAAAAAAATTAAGGCCAAGAACAATGGCTCACACTTGTACTCCCAGCACTTTGGGAGGCCAAGGTGAGCAGATCACTTAAGGTCAGGAGTTCAAGACCAGCCTGGCCACAATGGGGAAACTCTGTCTCTACTAAAATTACAAAAATTAGCCAGGCATGGTGGCATTCACCTGTCATCTCAGCTACTCAGGACGCTGAGGTATAAAAATTGCTTGAACCTGGGAAGCAGAGGTTGCAGTGAGCTGAGTGTGCTACTGCACTTCAGCCTGGGGGAGAGAGTAAGACTTTGTCTCAAAAAAAAAAAAAAAAAAAAAAAGAAAAAGAAAAAAAATTAGCCAGTTATGGTGGTACAGGCCTGGAGTCTCAGCTACTGAGAAGGCTGAGATGGGCAGACTGCTTGAGTCTGAGAGGTGGAGGTTCAGTGAGGCATGATCACGCCACTGCACTCCAGCTTGGGCAACAGAGCAAAATTCCATCTCCTTTAAAAAAAAAAAAAAAAAAAAAAAAAAACGCTGGGCGCAGTGGTTCATGCCTGTAATTCCAGCACTTTGGGAGATCGAGGTGGGTGGATCACAATGTCAGGAGATCAAGTCCATCCTGGCTAACATGGTGAAACCCCATCTCTACTAAAATAACAAAAAAATTAGCTGATTTTTTTTTTTTTTTGTATTTTTTAGTACATGGTGGCACACGCCTGTAATCCCAGCTTCTTGAGATGGTTGAGGCAGGAGAATCACGTGAACCTGGGAGGCAGAGGTTGCAGTGAGCCCAGATAGTGCCACTGCACTCCAGCCTGGGCGATGGGGCGACACTCTGTCTCAAAATTAAAAAAAAAAAAAAAAAGGAAAAAGAAAAAGAAAAAAAAAAAAGGCATGCTCTATCACTTAAGGGGTAAGTAGAAATAATACCAATAAAATAGTACTTAAACCTCAATCTTATAAGCAGCAGATGGGTTAAATGATAGGAATACAATCACTGTAAGAGGACCATTTCAGGCCAGGTGCCTTGGCTTACACCTGTAATCCCAGCACTTTGGGAGGCCGAGGCAGATGGATCACGAGGTCAAGAGATCAAGACCATCCTGGTCAACATGGTGAAACCCCGTCTCTATTAAATATACAAAAAATCAGCTGGGCATGGTGGTGTGTGCCTGTAATCCCAGCTACTCAGGAGGCCGAGGCAGGAGAATTGCCTGAACCCAGGAGGCGGAGGTTGCAGTGAGCCGAGATCGTGCCATTACACTCCAGCCTGGGTAACAAGAGTGAAACTCCATCTCAAAAAAAAAAAAAGAGGACCATTTCAAAACTCTACATGTAAAGTTTAAAGTCTGGTGGCAGTTCAAGTAAAAACAAATTTCAGGAGCATTGCTAATGAAAATCTAAAGACTTGATAATCAAAGGAATATGGGGCAATGAAGAAAAGCCAGTCAAAAAATAACTGTATAGGTTCATTAACTCAATCAAAACTTAACTAGAGTGATTTTTCACATGCATTCTATGTTCAGTAAAGACACAGTGCTAACAACACAATTAAACAAAAGTACTACGCCAAGGAGGCACAGGTACTGTGAAGCACTGAATGTGAGACCTTAACTTAGTCTGGGAATTAAGAAAGGCCTCCAGGAGGAGGATGAAGGGTGGGGAAGAAACATACTCTAAGTCACAGGAAACAAATTAGAAGAGAGAATGTACTCCTACATGCTCTCCTTTTCATTGCTCTTCATGGAAGTAACTTACTTCCTGAAAACATAAATACCTAACCTTTTAATGAACTAGTTACCTTTTATGAGCTATATATTCAAATCTATATATCTAATTTAGTTCACTAAAAAGACCTGTCAGCCAAGAAATTAATAGCATGTAGAAAATAAGCATTAACCACACGAATATGAATTATTATACATTCTTTTAAGCACAATTAATATCATTTGTATACTCTTTTAAAAAAAGCATCGAGGCTGGGCACAGTGGCTCACGCCTGTAAACCCAGCACTCTGGGAGGCAGAGGTGGGCAGATCATGAGGTCAGGAGTTCAAGACCAGCAGACCAGCTTGTCCAATACAGTGAAACCCTGTCTCTACTAAAAGTATAAAAATTATCCAGTGGCAGCTGCCTGTAGTCCCAGCTACTCGGGAGGCTGAGGGAGGAGAATCGCTTGAACCCAGGAGGCAGAGGTTGCAGTGAGCCGAGATGGCGCCACTGCACTCCAGCCTGCTACAACACAGACTCTTGCCTCAAAAAAAAAAAGCATCTAGTACAAAAAGTAGACGTAGCTTTGATTGTGCTATTCCATAACTGCCCTACAATTTCCATGAAACAGAAATTATGGTCCTAAAAGTTCAGAACATACCATAGGATTCTCTTACTCCAATAACCAGCTGAGAATCAAAAGCTTCTCCCAATCTCTCAGCATGTACCAGCTTCATTGCACTATCTTGGAGTCTGTTTTTTATATTTGAAAAGATTGACTCATTCCATGTATCAAGCATAAGCTAGGAAAACAAGAACAAATTGTAACATAATTTTCAATTACTAATATATAAAATATCATGTACAAACACCAAAAAAGAAAATCAAATTCTTAGGCCTGAGCCAGGTACAGTGGCTCATGCCTGAAGTTCCAGCAGTTTGGGAGGCCAAGGCAGGTGGATCACTTGAGTCCATGAGTTTGAAACCAGCCTGGGCAGCATGGTGAAATCCTATCTCTATAAAACACAAAAAAAAGTTAGCCAGGTGTAGTGGTCCATGCCTGTAGTCCCAGTGAGCCGAGATCATGCCACTGCACTCCAGCCTGGGTGACAGAGCAAGACCCTGTCTCAAAAACACTTAGGCTGCAGTCACTTGAATACTTCAGGGAAGCAGTATATGCAGCATAATGGTAAAGAAGACGTATCGACTCAGCATGGTGGCTCATGCCAGTAAACCCAAAACCTTGGGAGACCAAGGTGAGAAGATCACTTGAAGCCAGGAGTTTAAGACCAGCCTCGGCAACACAGTGAGACCCATCTCAACGACAACAAAAAATACTAAAATTTGTTAGGCATAGTGGCAGTGCCAGTAGTCCCAGCTACCTGGGAAGCTGAGGTGGGGGATCACTTGCATCCAGGAGGGCAAGGCTGCAGCAAGCAAAGATCACACCATTTTACTCTAGCCTGGGCAACACAGCAAGACCCCATCTCAAACAAAACAAAAATAAATAAAGAAAAAGTGTTTCAGAATCTAACATAATAGGATTTGAATCCCAGCTTTGTTGCTTATTTCCCACTTTCTTAAGAGTAAAGTGGTCAAAACGGTAGTGCAAACTTCAAGTGGTTATAAAAGTTAATGATGATAATACATGGAAAATGTTTATTTTCCTACAGTTCCATGGTTGAATTTCAGATACATTGGTGTGTTTGAAACAGACATATACATATGTTTGTACAGATACATAAAAAAATGCAAAAAGGACCAACTGAAAATCTGATACTGGACCTTATAAAAGAGTATCGAAATCTACCATTTAGATGTTCCATTAAAATGATAAAAATGATATATACATATTGGTGATTATATCAGTACTCCAAGACACTTGTTCAGATGTAGGAGATACATTAATAGCAGCAACAATAATAACAAGAGTTAACACTTTTATAACACTCATTCTGTGCTTGGGACTGCTCTATGTATTCCACATATAACTCATTTTATCCTCACAATCTTGATATAGGCACTATGATTATCCCCCCTTTAGATATGTGAAACCTGGGGTACAGATAGCAAAGCTAACTTTCCACATTCAAGCATCTCATCAATGATGACACTGGGATTTGAATCCAACAACTGTGGTCCCAGAATTGATACACTTAATCACTAAGTGGACGCTGCTTCCTACAACCCATGGAGAATGGCAAAACTTAAAGGAGTAACAACAAAAAAAGAGGACAAGATTATGAGACTGCAAATTAAATAGCAGTCAGAAGTGTTTTTCACTTTTTGGTTTTTTGGCACAGATTTCCCATATTGCAGTGATTTCTATCACTGATGAACCACTGGGTATCTAAATTTACAGTATCCCTGTCAACATCAGAGCAAATTTTAAGGCTAGGATGGGGCAACAATGCCCAGGTTATACTACTGTAATGCCTGAGTCTGTTATATAACCATCATAACAAACAGTAAGTTGACTAAAGTTCAAATGGCATTTTAAAATTTTCAAATCTATGGTTCCATTTGATTCTTACAAGCAGAAAGATATATGAAAATGAGGACTCTTCAAAATAGAGTTTGAAGAGTTGAAAGGGAACCCAGGACCCTTCATACTGAGCACCAAGTTCTTTCCATTAAATCATGACTGGTTACTTCACACAATTTTAAAATAGAAAATAAGTACAGTATATACTGACTTTGTAATAGCTGGAATTAAGTAAAAGGGAAATTATAGAGATGATAGCAGTTTAGCTACAATTAAACAAAAAGTTATCAGAAGGTAACCCAATAAAAGAAGATTTTTGAGAGAGGAGAAAAGTAATTTAATTTCTAGTAAAATAAGAATATAAGCTGGGTGTGGTGGTTCATGCCTGTAATCCCAGTAATGTGGGAGGCTGAGGTGGGCAGATCACCTGAGGTCAGGAGTCTGATACCGGCCTGGCCAACATGGCGAAACCCAGTCTCCACTAAAAATACAAAAATTAGCTGGGCGTGGTGGTGTGTGCCTATAGTCCCAGTTACTTGAGAGGCTGAGGCAGGAGAATTGCTTGAACCCAGGATGCAGAGAGTTGAAATCACACCACTGCACTCCAGTCTAGGTGACACAGTGAGATTCAATTAAAAAAAAAAAAGAGTAAAAAGAAAGAATAGAGAAATCGAATACCAAAAATACCAGGAAAAGGAGAAAGTAAAAAGGAAAGTAAAGGAGGTAATGGTTGAAGACACAGATCTATAGATTAAGACCACATAAAAAGATGAAAGAAGATTGACGCTAAAGACATTTATTGAAAAAGAGTATTTTTCAATAAAATCTAATAAGAGCTGAAAGGCAATTTACATGTGAAGTAGAAAAACCCACTTAAAAGTTCAAATTATTTTCAAATGCTTCCAAATCATCCTCTTTCTGAAGAATATTAGGAAAACAATAAGAAAAATGGTCTTACCTTTCGAACAATACTGTCTTCCACATTTGATTTTTTATTGCTGCCCTGTTTACCCATTAAAGTAATCTCTAGTTGACAAAAAGGTTTTGGTAAAATGTCACATTGTGTAAAGAATTTTCTCCATTCAACAATATATGCTTTTAACAAAGCTGTATCATCTTGATGGCTCAATACTCGCTGAAAAAAAGAGGTGTATCAATTTGAAATAAATGCAGTTGCTTTGAAAAATTAAGAACAAAACATATTCATGCCAAAATATAAATTGTACATAATTTTTAAATTATTGTACAAACTCTATTATATCCAAGAGAAACTGAAACACAGGTTCACACACAAAAAAACTTGCACATGAATGTTCACAGCCACATTATTCAAAATAGATAAAAAGTAGAAATAACCCAAATATCCATCAGTTGAAATATGGATAAACCATATATGGGCCAGGCATGGTGGCTCACACCTGTAGTCCCAGCACTTTCGAAGGCTGAGGCCAGAGGACTGCTTGAGCTCAGGAGTTTGAGACCAACCTGAGCAACACAGCAAGACCTCATCTCCATAAATACAAAATATTAGCTGGGTGTGGTGGTTCGTGGCTGTGGTCCTAGCTACTCAGGAGGCTGAAGTGGGAGGACTGCTTGAGCCCTGGCAGTTGAGGCTACAGTAGCTGTGACTGAGCCACTGTACTCTGGCTTGGGTGACAGAGCAAGACTCTGTCTCAAAAAGAAAATAAAACTAAACAAATGAAAAACAAAAGAAACCAAAAAACCCCACAATATATGGTATATCCAAACAATAGACATCATTCAGCCATAAAGAGAAACAAAATATTGCGAGAGAAACAAAATATTGTGAAAGAAACTAGTCACAAAAGGATATATATTATGATCCCAATACTGAAAATGTCAAATACAGACAAATCCATGGACAGCAGATTAGTGATTTGGTGGGGGTGGGGGAGGAGTAATAGGGAGTGAGAGTTCATAGATACAGGGTTTCTTTACAGGTTGATGAAAATATTCTGGGATTAGTGGGTGATGGTTGCACAACTTTAGGAAATATACAACCCACTGAATCATATGCTTTAAGGGGGTATATTTTATGGTACATGGATTTTATCTCAATTTTTTAAAAGGTGGTGGAGTCTATTTCCCACTATTAGAGTTTGGGCTGGTCCTGTGATTTTCGTTGACCCACAGAATGCCACAGATGTAAGACGGTGAGATTTCTAAGCCTATCTGTGAAGAGGTATTGTAGATTCTACTTTCATCCCAAAGGCTGGCTTCCTTGAGAATGAGGAACTACACAGGGAAGAGAAAGCCAGCACCAAAAACCATATATGTTTTACTGCTCTCTTAGACCACTATGTCCTGGTAAAGTTCACAGCTCACTGCTACTGCATTAATAAGCTTAGGCAAAATCAGCTAAGAGCAGCCCAAATTACTAAGCCACGGAATTGTAAACAAATAAAACAGATGTATTAATCCAGGTTAAAAAAAAAAAAAAGAAGAATCCGCATGTTTATTATTTTTACTTCTTTTTCTTGTTCTTTAAAAAGGTTATAAACATTTCAATGCATATTGCCTTTCAACCATTTGGGAGATTTGGTCCTTACTGACAATGTATGTTCAATTGAAGATTGCCTAGTAAAATGAGTCACAAAAAAAAAAAAAAAAAAATCCTTAAGAGTTTAAAAAGTCTTCTTAAGTTATATACCCATGTCTGGCATTGCTATTCCTATTAACTGCTCTGAATTAGTGGTGCTAAATCCTATTCTCGGGTTCTTGTTGAGGTCTACATTTCCAGACTTTATTCAGTTATGTTACAGTGAAACCCTTCCATATTTTTTTTGCCAGTGTTGAGTATGTTTTTTAACATCTGTTAATAACATCTAAGGTAGACCGGGTACGGCAGCTCACACCTGAAATCCCAGCACTTTGGGAGACCGAGGCAAGTGGATCACCTGAGGTCAGGAGTTCAAGACGAGCCTGGCCAACATAGTGAAACCCTGTCTCTAATAAAAAAAACAAAAAGCGGGGTGTGATGGCACACCCCTGTAATCCCAGCTACTCAGGAGGCTGAGGCAGGAGAATTGCTTGAACCCGGGAGATGGAGGTTGCAGTGAGCTGAGATTACACCACTGCACTCCAGCCTGGAAGACAGAGTGAGATGCCATCTCAAAAAAAAACAAAAACAAGGCCGGGCGCGGTGGCTCAAGCCTGTAATCCCAGCACTTTGGGAGGCCGAGGCGGGTGGATCAGGAGGTCGAGAATTACCTTAGTTTTTTTTGTTTTTGTTTTTGTTTTTGTTTTTTTTCTTTTTTTTTTTTCCTTTTTGAGACGGAGTTTCACTCTTGTTACCCAGGCTGGAGTGCAATGGCGCGATCTCGGCTCACCGCAACCTCCGCCTCCTGGGCTCAGGCAATTCTCCTGCCTCGGCCTCCTGAGTAGCTGGGATTACAGGCACGTGCTACCATGCCCAGCTAATTTTTTTATTTTTAGCAGAGACGGGGTTTCACCATGTGGACCAGGATGGTCTCGATCTCTCGACCTCGTGATCCACCCGCCTCGGCCTCCCAAAGTGCTGGGATTACAGGCTTGAGCCACCGCGCCCGGCCCTAAGGTAATTCTTTATAAGTTATTTCCAGAAACTGAAGAATAAAACTCTATCAATCTGAAATAAACAATTTGTCTTTATCAAATCATAAAAAGAAAATGTGATACATTTTCCAATGCAAATCTCTAAATTAGTTCTAAGAAAATAGTTTTAAATTCTGATATTGAAACATTTAATTTTCTAAGTGAAGCAATTCGGCTGTCTTGGCCTCCCAAAGAGCTGGGATTACAGGTGTGAGCTACTGTGATCTGCCCCAGACCTCATTTTTTTTTTTTTTTTTTTTTTTTGAGACAGAGTTTCGCTCTTGTTACCAAGGCTGGAATGCAATGGCGCGATACCGACTCACCACAACCTCTGCCTCCTGGGTTCAGGCAATTCTCCTGCCTCAGCCTCCTGAGTAGCTAGGATTAAAGGCACGCGCCACCATGCCCAGCTAATTTTTTTGTATTTTTAGTAGAGACGGGGTTTCACCATGTGGACCAGGATGGTCTCAATCTCTTGACCTCGTGATCCACCCACCTCAGCCTCCCAAAGTGCTGGGATTACAGGCTTGAGCCACTGTGCCCGGCCCCCAGACCTCATTTTATAGAAAGGAAAATAATTTCATGTCCTTTGGCTCCTCCTCAAAATGGTAAGAGACATAGCCATAGCTGACTTAAAACAACATTACAAGGTGTCAAAACAAACAAACTCTTGCATAACTGATCTAATGCCTAAATGAGCTTTGTCTTCATTTCAGTATAATTAGCCATTTATACATAATAACAAAACAAGAGTGTTGAATTTCAGCTCAGCAACAGCGATACAAAGGACAACCTAAAGAATTTACAACTGGCCGGGCGCGGTGGCTCAAGCTTGTAATCCCAGCACTTTGGGAGGCCGAGGCGGGTGGATCACGAGGTCGAGAGATCGAGACCATCCTGGTCAACATGGTGAAACCCCGTCTCTACTAAAAAATACAAAAAATTAGCTGGGCATGGTGGCACGTGCCTGTAATCCCAGCTACTCAGGAGGCTGAGGCAGGAGAATTGCCTGAACCCGGGAGGCGGAGGTTGCGGTGAGCCGAGATCGCGCCATTGCACTCCAGCCTGGGTAACAAGAGCGAAACTCCGTCTCAAAAAAAAAAAAAAAAAAAAAAAAAAAAAAAAAAGAATTTACAACTAAAGAAGGATCTGGAATTAAAGAAACTACTGTCAACTTGAGAAGAGGTATTAGTCATGAGAGAAAAATACAGATTTGTGTGGACTGATGTGTAGCCAAAAAATAATGGTGGTGGGGACTTCTAAAAATCATAAAAACTGAATTCACTATAACATCTTTTAATTAAGGATAATATGTACTCTCTTGACAGAAGTATCACTGTGGGAAAAAAAATCATCCAACTAATGACAATCATTTCATTAATAAAATTCTTTCACAGACATGTCAAAAGTCAATGCAATATTTTGAAATTACTTCAGGAACTCCTACTTTCAAAATTATAAAATATGATTATCTGACTAGTTTTAAAACAAGTCTAAAATAAACATGTGGAACTTACTGCCTGTGCTTGCTTAATAAACTCAAGAATATCTTCTTTTAAAGCCTGATGAATTTTTGCTGGGCCTTTATCATCCCAAAGACAGACTGCATGCACATCCCTGTGAATATAAAGTAGGTAAACAATCATTAATAATGAAACAAGAACTGAGACAAAACTCATTTTAAGTTCTATTGTAGTACAGTTTCCATGGATCATATTAGAACCAAGCTACTGGTGTTTGAATTCACTCATATAAACCAAGTACTCTTGTAAATTGCCTCACATATACATTTGTTCCTATTTTTATTTTCTTTTGTCATTGCTTTCCTCTTTAATTCTCTGCTACTTACCACATAAAATTTAGTTATGAAAGCATGTCTCCATCTCCTAATGTCACTCTCCAAAGTTAACTATTAGTATTTTCTTGTGCAAAAGCAACTACAAATCTTTTAAATTCTTTAACACAAGAGTTATATATTCTTTTATCACTTCAATTTTAATTATTTTAAAAACTTTATTTTTATTTTTTAGAGACAGGGTCTCACTCTGTTGCCCAGGCTGGAGTACAGTGGCATGATCATGGCTCACTGCAGCCTCGACCTACTGGGCTGAGGTGATTCTCCCACCTCAGTCTCCCAAGAGCTGGGACTACAGGAGCATGCCACCAAACCCGGCTCATTTTTAAAAAAAATTTTTGTAGAGACAATCTTCCTATGTTGTCCAGGTTAGTCTTGAACTCCTGGTTTCAAGGGATCCTCCTGCCTCAGCCTCCAAAGTGCTGGAATTGCAAGTGTGAGCCACCACACCCGGTCTTGTTATATACTCTGTCACCCAGCCTGGAGTGCAGTGGCACAACCACAGCTAACCGCAGTCTCTAACTCCTGAGCTCAAGGGATCCTCCCACCTCAGCCTCCTGAGTAGCTAGGACTACAAGCATGCACCTGTCTAACTTTTTAAATTTCTGGTAGAGACGGAGTCTTGTTATGTTGCCTAGTCTGGGCTTGAACTCTGATCCTCAAGCAATTCTCCTGCCTCAGCCTCCCAAAATGCTGGGATGTGGGCCAGCCTATTTTGGCTTTTTAGAAAAATTAGTCACTTAAATCACAATAAAGCAAATATCCTAGCTTCTCGACATATTACCCATTTACACAGCAATTACCAACAAAAAACAAAAGCAAAAGCTATCATAAATTGATATACAAAAACTCAGAACTTATAAAACTGATGTATTTTACAAAAAGGTCCTTCATTTTAGAAATATATTTAGTATTAGTACAGCATGTTCAGAAAGTTAATTTCTTAATTACCAAGTTGTAGGCCAGGTGCGGTGGCTCACGCTTGTAATCCAAGCACTTTGGGAGGCTGAGGTTGGCAGATCACTTGAGGTCAGGAGTTCAAGACCAGTCTGGCTAACATGGTGAAACCCTGTATCTACTAATAATACAAAAATTAGCCAGGCGTGGTGGTGCACACCTGTAATCCCAGCTACTTGAGAGGCTGAGGCATGAGAATCACTTGAACCCAGGAGACGGAAGTTGCAGTGAGCCAAGATGCCGCCATTAAAATCCAGCCTGAGCGATTGAGTGAAACTGTGTCAAAAAAATAAAAATAGGCCGGGCGCGGTGGCTCAAGCTTGTAATCCCAGCACTTTGGGAGGCCGAGGCGGGTGGATCACGAGGTCGAGAGATCGAGACCATCCTGGTCAACATGGTGAAACCCCGTCTCTACTAAAAATACAAAAAATTAGCTGGGCATGGTGGTACGTGCCTGTAATCCCAGCTACTCAGGAGGCTGAGACAGGAGAATTGCCTGAACCCAGGAGGCGGAGGTTGCGGTGAGCCGAGATCGCGCCATTGCACTCCAGCCTGGGTAAAAAGAGCGAAACTCCCTCTCAAAAATAAATAAAAAAAAAATAAATAAATAAATAAAAATAAAAATAAAATAAAATAAAATAAAATACCAAGTTGTAAATCAGAGAAACTTACAACAAAAGAACAGGGTCATAATGAAGAATCATTCATTCAAAAAATGTCCCTCAGTGATTCATTCAATTTACAATGGAGTCTCTACTATAAAAAAAGTCAAATCCAAATAAAGCATCTCCAGAATTATAACGTGTCAATAATCAAATTGTTTCGTATTCTAATTATTTTGTTTCTTTTTTTTGAGACAGTGTCTCACTCTGTTGCCCAGTCTGGAGTGCAGTGGCATGAACACAGCTCACTGCAGCCTCAACCTCCTGGGCTCAAGTGATCCTCCTGCCTCAGTCTCCCAACTAGCTGAGACCACAGTTGTGTGCTACCATGCCTTGCTAATTTTTTATTTTTTGTAGAGACAGGGCCTCCCTATGTTGTCTAGGCTGACTGTGAACTCCTGAACTCAAGTAATCTCCTGCCTCAGCCTCCCAAAGGGCAGGGATTATAGGCATGAGCCACTGTGCTTGGCCTACATTCCAATTTTTAGAGCCACTATTATAGCCCAAAGTTTTGTCTCCATATTAGTTTGAATGCTTTTTTCACTAGTCCAATTCAGCTTCATAATGGTTTATGGCCCAGTGCCTAGGATGATGTCAGCATACAAATATTTGTTAAATAATAACACAAAACATAACACCTGACTGCTTATTATGTGCCAGATACTATTCTTTTATTTATTTATTTTTTGGAGATGAAGTTTTGCTCTTGTTGCCCAGGCTGTAGTGTAATGGTGGAATCTCGGCTCACTATAACCTCTGCCTCCAAAGTTCAAGTGATTCTCCTGCCTCGGCCTCTCCAGTAGCTGGAATTACAGGCATGTGTCACCAGCTAAGTTTTGTATTTTTAGTAGAGAGGGAGTTTTACCATGTTAGTCAGGTTGGTCTCAAACTCCTGACTTCAGGTGATCCACCCTGTCTCGGCCTCCCGAAGTGCTGAGATTACAGGCATGAGGCACTGCGACCAGCCAGATAGTATTCCAAGTTCTTTTAACTCAATTTATCTTCACAGCAACTTCAAAGTACTACTATTTTATCCTTATTTTACAGACGGGGAACTTAGGGAAAAAGGATCCAAGATTATGCAATTAGTATATGTTGGAGCCAGGAAATCAGGCTCCAGAACTTACACCAAACCGAATCTACTCTTCAAACCCTCTAATCTATTAGACAAGCAGCTAAAACTCAAGACACATCATATTACCCCATACTTAAATTATTTAATGGTTTCCCAATACTCTCAGAATAAATTACAAAACAATTAATTGACTCATGCATACCTATACAGTCTCACCTAATGACTAAAGGAATCTAGAGTTTAAAAGAAGAGACTGGGATGGGCATATTGGCTTATGCCTGTAATCCTAGCACTCTTGGAGGCCAAGGCAGGAGGGTCATTTGAGGCCAGAAGTTCAAGACCAGACTAGGCCACATGGCAAGCTTTCACCTATACAAAAATAAAATAAAATAATCAGCTGAGCATAGTGGCCCATGCCTGTAATCCTAATTTTCAGGAGGCTGATGAGGGAAGATCACTTCAACTCAGAAGTTCAAGGTTAAAGTAAGCTACAATTGTGCCACTGCACTCCAGCCTTAGTGACAGAGTAATGCCCTGCCTCTAAAAATTTTTTTTAAAAAAGAAACAGGCCGAGCATGGTGGACCATGCCTTTAATGCCAGCAGTTTGGGAGGCCAAGGTGGGCAGATCACTTGAGGCCAGGAGTTTGAGACCAGCCTGGCCAATATGGCAAAACCCCATCTCTACTAAAAATACAAAAATTAGCCAGATGTGGTGGTGCGCACCTGTAGCCCCCAGCTACTCGGGAGGCTGAGGCAAGGGAATCACTTGAACCCAGGAAGCGGAGGTTGCAGTAAGCCAAGATCATGCCTCTGAATTTCAGCCTGGGTAACAGGGAAAGATACTGTCTCAAAAAAGAAAAAAATCCTGATACAAAAAAAATACATAATTTAGTATGTTACAACTATTTTATGGGTATAACAAAAGATGATTTAGGAACCCAAGGACAGGGTAAGAGTGAAAGTGAGAGGTAGAGAGAAAAGGGAAAGGCTTCCTGGAATAGTTGGTTTCTGAGCTTAATCTCTAAAAATAGGAATCTGCCAGGCAAAAGTGTACAAAGACAGGAGGAAGGATATTTTATGAGAAAACGACAGTATAAGAACTGTAGGCCAGGTGCAGTGCCTCATGCCTGTAATCCTGGCACTTAGGGAAGCCAAGGCTGGTGAATCACTTCGAGGCCAGGAGTTCAGGACCAGCCTGGCCAACATAGTGAAACCATCTTTACTAAAAAATACAAAAATTAGCCTGGTGTGGCGGTGCATGCCTGTAGTCCCAGCTATTCAGGAGGCTGAGGCATAAGATCGCAGCACTGCACTGCTGCAGCCTGGGCAACAGAGCGAGATTCTGTCTCAAAAAAAAAGAAATGTGGATGATTATGGTAATTGCAGTGAACTGTAAGCACATTGATGTGACTAACCTGTAAAGTAAAATGCAAAGTGATAAGAAAGAAATTGGGTAACCCAACCCCCTTTTATCCCCTATATTCAATCACAGTCCTATTGTATTCATCATCCAAATGTCTCTCTAATGTGGACATTTCCCTCCATCACCATTACCACAGTGAGAGTCACCATCATTTTTTATTTAGTTTACTGTAACAAAACTAACATGTATTAACTGTTACTATGTGCCAGACACTCCACAATGACTCATGTGCTAGTTTAAGAAGACTTTTAAGAAGCTGATGGGGCCAGGCATGGTGGCTCACACCTGTAATCCCAGCACTTTGGGAGACCAAGGCAGGTGGATAACCTGAGGTCAGGAGTTCGAGACCAGCCCTGGCCAACATGATGAAACTCTGTCTCTACTAAAAATACAAAAAATTAACTGGGCATGGTGGCAGGTGCCTGTAACCCCAGCTACTTGGGAGGCTGAGGCAGGAGAACTGCTTGAACCCAGGAGGCAAAGGTTGCAGTGAGCCGAGATCTGTGAAGGAATAAGGAAAATGGGCTAGAAAAAGCTGGATATAGGTCTGATCCCTGCAGAGGACACAAGGAAGGAAGTCTTAGCAGTAAGAATCGGTGCAGTTCTAAGAAAGGTTGGTAAGGCTGTTGAAAAATTCTGGAACC